CCCCCCCCCCCCCCCACATCCCTGCTAACAACTTTACTAAAGTCATTATGTTTGTCATAGGGCTTATTGATTGATATACACTTTTGGATTCCGACTTCGTAAACCTACTCTTGATGATTGAGAGTTATGATTGCAGATGTTATATCGCACAATAGAAAAAGCAAAACCTTTCAGATCGACTTCCTGGGATAGTTATTACCTATTTTTCTTGGATTAAAATGGATTACGTAATTATATCATTAATTGGAGGTGATTCAAAATTTAAAAGGAAGAGCATGAGTAAATTCTCTCATCGCAAGGCACTAGGAAATGAACGTTTTTATAGGTCACTCAAAGAAGTGAAATGCTCTTTCTAATGATGTTTCTAGAGGATTGATGTAATGCGTTGCTTAAAGCTGTATTATAGAAGTGTGATTTATTTATATTCGAGTTGAGATTACCTTATTTGGTGAAAATGAATTTTTTTTCTTGAACAGAAACCATCCAGTCATCATACCCACCAAATACGGACCGGCTCTTGTCCAAGGTTTCTCGTATACTAGATCATAATTAGCAAAAGGATCCTTAAATCTGAAGCAAATGATAAAAAAATGTGAAAATACCGGACATTTCAATTGAAAATGACCATTTTTATACAGGGTGTCCCAGAGCACCCGTACCATGGTTTAATGTTTTGGAGATATACCAACCAACATCCTTACTCGAAAATCAAGATAGAGTAGTTTCCAAAAAATCTAAATTTAGAATGTTGGTTGGTGTCCCTCCAAAAAATGAAAAAAGGAGATGGGATCTTGAAACATCACAATGTAGCCGTGACCATTTTGCTTAACTCTAATGTATTTGTAGAAAAAGATTGGACTCTTTTATTATAAGTTAATGAAGAAAACTTTGCTAAATAGCTGCCTAATCTAATTCCTCCTTATGATCATATTATCTAACAGCACAAGACAAAATGCAGCCAGTGCAATACATGTGTTCAAACAGTACACTAAAAAGAATTGTTCAAGGGGCTCTCTTCAGATACACTGTTTAATCTGTCATGGATTACGAGTTTCCTTATAGTTACTCACAGGATTTTATTGGATAGATCTCTTGAGTATCCCAAGGGCTATTCTTATCAAAGGAGGGTTCTAATTAATAAGATGCGTTAACATACAATAATATTACTTTTTTTCTTAAAGGAAAATTAATAAATATGGAAAAAAACTCCCATAAAGATGAGCTTCCATGTCACAAGCGCCAGGGGTTCTTAGATTGCTCCACGGACTCGGTATCAAAAAAGCCAATTTTCAAAGGAAAAAAATTTTTTTAAAAGGCTTGCCAAAATCTAGACTTAAGCGGACCCAAATCAGTGTTTTGTGTCTCCTGAAAAGTTGACAAAGTGGCGCTTGTTAGGCCGAGAGGTGATGACTTGCTTCTCAAAACTCTGTTATACTTTGCAACATGTCTTTGCAAAATTAGTTTGTCCAATAATTTTTTATTGTTAATCGCATGCTTAACAATGAAAGTGTGTACGCTGCACGTGGCTACTAGGAATTCTCCTGTATTTTCTTCATACGATGTTAATCCGCAAAAAACGAATTCAAAGCTGCGTTTTTTAGCCTCCATTTAGACGCGTGCACTGCTGAGAAAGTCAAGGTGGCGTCCGAAAGTATCCCACTCGCCACAAAGATATAATTCTGTTGCTGTTGCATTGTTGCTTTGCCTCTGCTGAAATATCATCGGACGCTATTCTTGGATTTTTCGGCAACGTGGTTTGAATGGAAACTTATAGAATATGCGACTAATGCCGCAAAAATTCGATCGCGGATATGCGAATCCGCGGATACCGCGGTATTACAGTACTCAAGATACATAATCCGATTACCACATTTCTTTATTGTCTAATTTAGGGAGCAAAATTGAAAGCTATAGAAAGCTGAAAAAACTTACGACGGAATATAACTGGAGTTTACAGTTATCACTGCGGAGATGGTCCACGATGCAAGAAGAAGCAACCCAACTGCACTCGCTGCCGCTTTAAAATACCTGTATGTATTTATTAATTGCATAAAATTAGTTGCAAATGTCAAACGTCAATATAGTTTTATGTGAAATTTCATCACATACCTGAGCCAAGTGCGATAAGAGAGAGAGATGAAACACAATAGCCCGCATGCACATAACAATAAAAACACATTGAAATACAAAAACCAATGGGTTTACAAGGCTAAGGAGACATAAAATAAACCAGGACGTTTTGGGCCAATTACATGCCCATTCTCAACTGGAACAAAAGCTAAAAAATGTTAAAATTAAAACAAGAATATTAGCATGCACATGAGCGTGTTTGGCAAAGATTCCTACCTCGTGGTTTGTGTTATTTCTCCTTAGCCTTGTAAACCCATTTATTTTTGTATTTTGATGTGTTTTTATTGTCCCGAGCTAAGATGAGACTATTCTTAAGTAGGTATACAGAAAGTCTGAACATTTTGCTAATTTTTCAAAAATATGAATTTTGAAATATAGATAAATTTATCCGTAAAATTCTAAATAATGTAATGAAAATCTCGTGACTTCCAGCGCCTGAGTGGCATTGAAAATGTAATTTTGCATCCTCTAATAAGACACGCGGTGTGTATTTTGTCAAAATAATTTCAAATCCAAATTATATGAAAATATCGTTTTAATTAAAAGACTGCTAAAGGTTATAGGTAACAAAATACTTCCTTTGGATATTGACCTTCGAAGCCTACATAAACTGATTTCCCATTTACATATTACGAGGAGGAACCCAAAAAAAACCGGAATTTTGCTATGACTTGGCAATGGTGGAAAATATCCGGGTTCTACCGCCAGAGGGTGTAATTAGAAGCTATGAAGAGCCACTAGGTCTTTCAACGTCGTAGAACATTTTCTTTTATTTTGGCGAAACTTGCTTTAAGGGGTTGTCTGGCGAGTTCGTCGTTTTTGAAGATGGGTGATTTTCACGGGCAATACGTGGCTAACCCGGTCAATTTTTGTAGTGAATCTTACAGGGAACATGTTTCACTCATGACATAAGTTAATACGTGTTTTTCTTTGTTTTAGAGTGTGATTAGTTGTTCAAACTTCGGCTGGACGCCCAGCGGTAGTCACCGGCTAAAACGCTAAAGGGGGATCCATTCGGCAACAACGCGTTTTAGGCCCAAATTATTCACAGCAATGTTTTGAATATTTCTGTATTACATTCAAGTGGTACCTATCTACTAGTTAATTAAATGATCTATAGCCACCCTCATTCACAAAAATTCAATTTGATTCGTTATTTGCATCGGTTCTATCCAATAACGATGGCGGTTTGTAGCCTTATAGGGGTTTCGGGCGATATAACACCATTATTAAAGCAAAAAACCGAACTTGCACTACAGTTTTTGATGAGGCTTGTTCTCCAGAAGCAGCACTTCTAAAGGTTACCAGAGAAAGTCGTGTTTTTATCGAGGAAGAGAAAAAACTTGAGCGCTAAGTGTTGTTACTGAAATTGACCCATCTTCAAAAACGACGAACACGCCAGACGGGTCCAAAATAAAAGAAAATGTGCCACGACGTTGAAATTTAGCATAGTGACTCTTCAATTCTTCATAGCTCCTAGTTACACCTCCTAGCGGTGGAATCCGAATATTTTCCGACGTTGCGAAGTTACAGCAAAATTCCGGTTTTTTTTGGGTCCCTCCTCGTAAATTACTGTGCGTAGATGTTTAGATCATGCATTGCTTTTCATGTTAAGCTTGATCGTAGGTCTACGGTTCATGCATCATGCACTTCCAAAGGCGGTATCAGGGGGAGTAAGTCGAGAACGAATCATCTGAACAATACTTCCCATAATCACTATGTTACACGTAAAAAAGAGCAAGGGGTTGATGAATGCTATGGACATTTCCAACCCAGTAAATTATAAAATACTTACTTGACAGCCACGATTAGAAGGATAATACCAATTACGAAGAATTGAGTGTCATCTGCTAAATACCAACTCCAAATGACGCACTGTTCAACAAGGGACGCCAAAAAATAATGTTATCTTATTTTCAGTATGATATAAAACATAAAAATGTAGGTAGGCATAATTCTCGTAAATGTTTGAAATTATAATTAAACACGAGCATATTGATCTTTGTTGGTAAGGATGATCCTTTTACTGAGACATACACTCGTTTGATAAACATTCGAAACCGTCGAAATGAACGCAACTAGAGAGTTGACACCACTTTTGGCTGGAGTTCATACGAATTTGGCAGTCTTCGGAGAGAGAAGTACGTACATGAACCATGTTTCGGAGTTTCGAGAACACTAGGCGTATCCGTACACTCTAGTTTTCATTATGCTTAAAACCGTAGACGAAAAAATAAACTAATGATAAATCCAAAAGCTCAATTGGTGCATCACGCAGATAGCTTGCATGGAACTTCTCTCCCCTAAGAAATCCTAGTAAAAGTCTCGAAAAGGGATGGAATTTTCGAACCTTGAAGAGATCTAATTTTCGAGAATTCTGGGCCTAAATTAACTTCTCAAATCTGCAACTCGTATCGAGCACCCTATAGTCAGAAAGTTTACACTTAGCCCTTTATTTGAAAGGAGAAGAGCGCAGATAAGATAAAAAAAATTCCTTACTCTTTCTTTGACTGGATAAAACGTATTTACGTAAAAGATGTTTCGCCACCAATATTTAGGACAGTTGACGTGGTCCAAGGATGGAAACTCCAAAACTGCATGATCGCGGAAATGCTTCATCTGTAGCTCGACAATCCAAATCATCACAAGATATGGAGGCGTAAGTCTGAGAGGTACGAGAAATAAAAAATACAAGTTGAAAGCTGATACCATAGGGATGGTTTCTAAAAATGAAATGACACTTAGTTACAATGTCTTCGCTTCTTAAAGATTCCCTCAAAATTTCAAGTAACGATCGATGCATTCTTTTTATCATTCAGGCACTCATCATACTTTAATGACAGGAATAAGACAAATCCATTATTGATCATTTAAGAATATCAATACAAAAATTGCTATTGTTGTGAAAAAGTAATTTTTAAGAAAAAAAGATGCAAGTTCTTTGCAATTTTTTGAGACTGTCATTATTTCCGATGAGTACTTAAGGGTTTATACGCGATTTCACTTAAAACTAGGAGGATAATTAGGCAATTTTTCATGCTTATAAATTAAAAATTATACATCTTTTGGTGTATTAGTATTTCCATAAAAAACTTATGAAAAATATTTCCATCTTCGTATGTGGCAACATATACAAAGGCTGGCCCGAAAGGACTGCCCCTTTTTCCCCACATGGCAAAAGAAAAGATTTATTAAAATGCGGTTTGTGTGGGGTTATAGTCCTAATAATTACTTATGAAAAAGGTCAACATGAGCTCTGTAACTTAAAATTGAGTGAGGTGCAGCATTTTGAAAATAATAAGTTGATTCCTGTCAACTTATGGAATTGTCCTCCAGGAGTTGCAGCATATTTTACTGGAGGGGAAAAATTTTACGAATAAAACGGTGTTAATAAAAATAAGTTTACATATTCTTACCGAAATTGCGGCAAAATGTACTCTTTTTTATCAGGAGACTTGGTTTTTCTTCTGTTCCTAAGTATCTTCCTTCACTTTGTGCGCACCAATGTAATGCCCAACACCATGCATTAACCATGCACCATGCAATGCTTTGTACGCAACTTTTTCGCATTTTTTTCAGATTTTTTTTTTTCTTTTAAACAATGCTGGCAATCGTGGAGTGGTCATGGTCAATCTTTACCTAAGACGTCATCTTCATTCAAATTTTAAGTTGCAGAGCTTATTTTGGTCTTGTTTTATAGGTAAATAACTAGGATTATAGCCCCAACGAAGCCGCGTTTTTATATGTGCTAGATTTCGCCTCGTGGGAAAAAAGGGGCAGTACCTACTTTTGAGACAGCCTTTTTATTTTAACCGGAAAGTATCTTCCCCATCATTTTTTCGAAACGGTGCACAGAGCTAGGGTCCCCAAGGTTGCTTCTTTTGATAGTCTAACATAAATAAGTTTGTGAAAGCTCTCACCTGATGAACCTGTAAAGAAGCATCGTGATGAACTGTACAAGCTGCCCTTGAAGCTCTTGATCCATATTTGTCATTTCCTTCATGGTGAATTTGGCGCAAGTGCGGAAATAAAGGAACGAGACAAGAGATCCACTACGGGAAATGACATTGGAAAATGAGCGGTAGCATATCTTGAAAAAATTGGGATTTTATTACGTGAATTTGACTACATTTTCTGATGAGGAACTATACAATTTTTGTCTCATTTTGGAAATAACGTGTGTGCTACGACGTGTTACTCTATACAGATAGGTGTTTTTACAGAAGAGCTATAAAAATCAATTCATTCTTGCAAGATGAGGTCCAATCGGTAGTTATAGTCCATCCAGATAAATAAAAGTGCGATTAAATAGAGCTATACTGGATTGGGTGGTTGTAAATAAAACTCGAATAATTGCCAGCGGTACCTTAAGGGAATCAAATGAGATAAGGTCAGGCAAAAGGGACCTATAGAGGGAAAAAGTATACCGGGTGATCCAGACCACCCGTCCACTATCTTTATCCAGAGAACCACTGAAAATCGAGTTTTGAGGGCCTGGCCCTCACAACTCGATTTTCAGTGGTTATCCGGATAGAGATAGTGGACGGGTGGTCTAAATCACTCGGTACAATAAGAAAGGTAATACAGCTCAAAGATTTAATTCTACATAATTTGACTGGGAGCATACCAAAAATTAACTGAGAACAAATAAAATGAGATAAAAATTCTAAGGCTTGAAGGAGTAAGTACTGAATCTCTTGGCATAAAAAACTCCGAAAAATAGGACATGCAAATTGAAATTTGTCTAATTGTTACTTCACAATAGATTATTGCTGGTTTAAGTAATGATACTAAAATTGAGTGCTTTTGAAAAGGATTCATGCAGTCGTTTAGGTAGACGTAAGGGGAAAAAACCCGAATACAAAGATTACAAATTATTGCTATTATTAGTTAGAGAAATTAAGCAGACCTGATGAAGAAAAAAGTGTCCACGGAGTAGGTGCCACTGCTAACAGTTTGATATAGAAAGTTATCCTCAACTTTCGAACGAAATGATTTATTATCTGCAACCATGGGGAAAATCTGTTAAAGCTGTTTCCGATTCGAATTTTAAAAAAAGAAGAAAAAACACATAGTGCAAAGCAACAAGCGTTCCAGTTTTGAGATTATTTCACACAATTTTTTTAGTTTATCAGAAAATCTTCATTCATATTTTGGGGTGGTTTTAGAGGGTAGATAAATATAGGTTGTTTTGAAGGCCACGACAAGACGAGTTTGTTGATGTATCACCGACTAAGATCGGACGAGTTTGAAAAATCATCCCCCTTTGGACTTGAGGTTTTCCGGATAAGGGGTGGGCCGATTTTCACGAAAAAGGAAACTTGATGTAGACCTCATAGCAGTGAAGAACCATGCTTAGTTTCGTTTTGATCGTATCGATAGTTACGAAAAGAAAAAACGGTCGCAAAGTTTCGTTAGATCCCAGTTATATATATAGTATAAGTGAATCTAACGTAACCCAAAATAAATACACTGAAAACACATCTGGGGAAAGAAAGGCTTACACATTCAAAATTAAAACCGAGCGTTTCGTCCAAATTCTTGGACATTCTCAATCGATAAAATAAAGGTTAAAATGTGCCGAATTAAAATTATCGATTGAAAATGTCCAAGAATTTGGACGAAACGTTTCGGTTTTAATTTTGAATGTGTAAGCCTTTCTTCCCCCAGATGTATTTTCAGTATATGAATATATGTATAAAACGTATAGTTTTTATCCTTGATCCTGTATTTTGTGTTTCACACACACACACACACACACACACACATATATATATATATATACATATATATACATATACATACATATATATATTACTATTTTATGACCTACATTTTTCAACTCAGGGCTTCAGGATCGATGCTCTTTGAGCGAGAATTCCCGAAAATTACGAGGTCGTACCGTCTACAATAGGTAGATATTTCTTCGAAATCTACCTTAAGATGACAGAGGTATAACAGGAAGTAAATACTACGTTGCAAACAAAGATGAGTGGTTTCTCACTTTTGCCATCGATATGGAAACTAAGTCGGTGGAAAACGCACCTTAATGTTTCAAGATTATGGTAGGTCATGGAGGTCATTGTTACGTGTAATATGTTGCGTTGCATGCGAGATAGAGCGTGCTTGTTAGCATTTTTTACGACCATTCATTGTCAGGTTGGCAGATTTTGTGACAGAATTTGGACAATTCGCATTGAGTTTCTTTCATGGAAGGAAAATACCTTTCTCCAGTACAATCGGACACCATATCCAATGTCCACGTCACGGCTGAAGGTGAGATTGTATTCTTGATTTAGAGTCCACAAAATCAGGGAAAACAAACATACGCAACGACTGAGACATGAGATACATAATTACGTTTTAAATAAGGTCATAGTTTTAATTCACGTTGATGCATTCTCTTTGCGCAATTAATTCAGACGTGGCCATGGAAATGAACGAATATCATGGTTGACTGCGTGTCATGGTAAGCCGCTTATAAAAATTTAATACAAAACTATATCGACGGTAAACTCCCAAATCGCGTATCTTGTTTGCAATGTTTAAAAATCTCCTCTCCTCTTTTATATTTCTAAAGGCGTTCAAGAATTCCAATAATGTAGTGTCATCATCAAACTTACGAAGAATCTTAGCGTGAGAAATCCAAATTGAAGGCAACGTCTTAAAATTTCACATACTTAGTATGCAATGAGTCTTTCTTATCCTTGATCGGTCGAGATGTCTGCGACCTTCTTTCATGATTGTCAACTGTGCTGACAAGCAGCCTACCGCGAATTTTCCCGTTTTTCGTTTCCAAGTGTTCAATTCGCCTCAGATTAAAAACATCGACTGATGCACTAATCCCGGTCTTCACCTCGATCTCTGTCCTTAAACCGCACAGGTCGCGCAAAACCCTCGTTTTCCATCAAGAAACAATGGATACCCATCAAACTACACTTTCTTCTGAAGAAGGTAAAATATTCTTAGAACATGTTCAATGCTGTATTTCCCACAAGCAAGATACTTATTTATTAATACGCAAATTCCTCACTCAAAATGTAAGGTAATAAACACACATATACGAGTATTTGGTTTGAAAATTGAGAAGGCTTGGAGGATAAGGCGCACAAGTGCAGTTTTTAAAAAAATTGAGATATAAATGATTTTAAGTCAAATTCGTCTGAATGCGTGTTTTGTAAAAAATTTGCTCCCAGATTCCTATTTTTAAGCATCAAAAAGTTAGTTTGAACTTTCGTTCCGCCATAAGCATCAATGGTGTTAAGTTTCGCGATTGCGAAACTTCAAACACATGAATTTCTCGCAATAGCAAAAACTGCACTTGTGCGCCTTGTTCTCCAAGCCCCTCAATTTAATCGCTGCAATTTAAGAAAAGAATAGATTCAATTTTAAAAAATTGAAAGGCCCTGTCCTAATTTATGATAACTTAAAATAAAAAAATTATCATAGCAAATGAGTCGTATTAAAATATGACTTGCCGTATCCTCCACAGTATCTCCATAGTATCCGCAATTAGATTAGAGACATTCTGTGACTTGTTTTTTCTTGTTTTCTTAGGATTGCTTTCAAAACTTACAGTGGCCATTGACAGTTGGTTACCCTTCAGTTTGCAGTATTTCGACGTCACATCACTCCCACATACCCGTCTCGTAGCCTTGCTGTTCCTTGGATTCGTCTGTCTCATATATTACCTCACTCGACCCTCAAATATATTTATCGTAAGAGACGGTTGTTAAAATATTGTTAATCATACTGGTATTTGTTTCTGAAAGTATTTGGATAATGAACTAGATCTTCACCATTTTTGGTGCAAATGTGGCTACATTGAATTATGACAAAGAGTACTCGGAAAACTGTTTCAAGAAAACTGCGCTCCAACCACGTAGAATTTCGCCGAAAATTGCGAAATTAGACAAATTTTGAGGCTTTAAGCTACACGCCTTCTTTGATTACGAGACCTGCCTAATCGCTCGAAAACGCGATTTCAGCTAAAGTCACTGACCGAATTTCGGAATCTAAGGAAATCAAAATTACACGTGGGTCTTTTTTTTGGAGCTCAAAACACATCTTAAAGAATGTGTCGGGCACGCACAGTTTTTAGAAGCAAAAATTGGGAGTGAAAAAAACATTTTCCGAGCGCTTGCAATTTTCAGTTAATTGAATTTTTAAATATTCTGATCAATTTTGAAACCTCAAAAATGGCTTCACTTGAACAGAATTTTGGAGGAAGCATTCTTTTGTGTTGGAATATAATATTATCACCAGCCGTTGCACGGTTATTCCGTTCGTGAAAAGCTAATAGGTAAAATCGATGAAAGAATGGTGAAATTAGAAGAGGCAAGAATGGAAATGCTCAATTCAGAACCTCCAAAAGTTAAATACTTTTGTTTTTAGAAGAATGGTCATAACTTTTATCGTAGAAAAATATCCCCACCAGCAGCAAAGAATGCCAAAGAGAATGTTTTTTCTTCGGCTCACCCTAAAAATAAAAGTTTAAAATCACATTATTGTTTTCTTTTCATATATTTACAAAAATTATTTTTAAGAGAGCGAAGACTAATTACACGAAATTTAGTGAATTACGATGATTGTCAGTCGCTCTTTAAGAAAATTAAAACGTCAAAAAAATCAAGAACGTCTTTGAACATATAAAGAGTGCTTTGTATTTTGCCCTTGATGTTATTTTTCCTGCCACTTACTACTATGTGTGCCTCCTGTCCTTAAAAATGTTCATAACTTAACCAAGGATTCTAAAAACTTCTCTTTCCATGGTGATTACACGTTGTTTCAACAACCTCCTCCCCCACTTTCTATCCCTTTTCCCCAAATGGATTAATAAAAACTTTTTAATTTTTTTTTCATGTGATCAGGACTTGACCGGAGAGAAGAGCGATAAATTTTTTAAACTTCCAGCTAAAAATGATTCGATGGCAAAAGACCTGCTCGTAAGTCGATTGCGAAGAGATCCTAATGCCAAAAAATTTCCACTTTATCCAAATGGATGGTTCAGAATACTCGAATCTTGGGAACTCGGCCTGGAGAGAGTGAAATACGTCGCGGCTTTAGGTAATCTTAGTATGTAATATTTAAAAATGGGTTGCTCTCTTTCTTTAGTCTACGAAAATAGTCTCGCAAATTTATAGATGGAGCTGACGTGTGCACATACTCACGGATGAAAGCGAGACCCAAAATTTTTGCAATGCAACACAGTTGGACAGTATTTTGCAATTTAGAGCTATGAATTCTAGCTCATCTGAAAAAACACGTATGTGCATAGGGAAACTAATGGCACATACGTTGTTTTTAAACCAAGCTGAAATGTATAGTTCCTAATTGCAAAATGTAGTCCAGTTTTAACCCTCTATGGCATGAATTCATTTTGGATCTCAGAATCTAGGGGACACTAATCTATTTTGTAGCTTGCATTAAAAAAATAGAGTACCAATTTTTTTTTCAAAGTTTTAAATTTAAGGGAATAAATTTTTCAAAAAAAGAAACAACTAATGAAATGTTGCAAAATCATGGAACAGGGAAAGATCCAATCTTTAAAAACCCCCGAAAATACGTTGTTACGAATTTGTAACGCTATGCCATAGAGGGTGAAGATTTCAGAATATGAACTGCGCACGAGACTCGCATTAGGCTGCAATGGGGGAGAGGGTTTAAGGTTATTAGTGTAAAAGACCGCATACGAATACCTAAGAAGAAAAATGATCAGGAATGGATGGTTTATTGACGTATTTCAGATACACTGAAAAAAAAGGGTCAGATTTTAGCCGAACTGGTCAGTTCAGCGGCGATTAGGCTAATAGGCAAACTGTTTGAAGTAGTAAACAAAATCTTTGAGCTCCTAGCATAACCAAGTTTATATACTATCTAAACCTCATTTTAGATTCATCACAAACCTAAAAGTCTAGGTTGTATCAAAACCACTTCTAGGTAGTAGCTGAACTAGTTCGGCTATAATCCAAACTGCTGGCCACATACCGTCACAAACTGTTTAGGCAGGTGCAGTGACGAATCACGTGCGTTTAAAAAAGTCCGTTACTTTTTCAGTCTCAGTTGAAATGCTAATAGCGTCGCGAGTCGGTCGTATCGAGTCGGTTAACGAATTAAAAGTAATAAAAATTGATTATCTCAAGTGCTGTGCTATTTCAAATTCACCGCTCATTCGGAATCGTCATAGTGACGCTCTCTGAAGGCAGTAGAACTTAACTCCCAGTCTCAGTGCTGTTGATGTCAACAGAAACTGATATAGACGCTATTAGTGGCGACGTCATCATAGACGCTATTAGTGCAACGTCACAGAAAAGCGATATATATCGATTTTTTCGCACTGGTAGCATTGAAAGAGGTTATGCCAATGTTATTGTTTGGATCCAATTCGATATAATGGAGAATCCCTATGATGACGTCGCCACTAATAGCGTCTATAGGGATTCTCCATTATATCGAATTGGATCCAAACAATAACATTGGCATAACCTCTTTCAATGCTACCAGTGCGAAAAAATCGATATATATCGCTTTTCTGTGACGTTGCACTAATAGCGTCTATCACCATCCCGGTGGGTGAGTCAAGGTATTATGTTACTAATTCTTTAATCATTAAACGAAACACATCCGAAAACATCAGTACTGTTCTATTAATCTTTCAAGTAAACCAGTATTCCTTCGTCCAAGAGTGTAGATGTTTAACTAATCTGTTCGTTCGAGCGGCGTGCTGCGTGACAAGAATTCGCGTTCGAAACCGGAGGACTTTAGTCTGCCAGTGATTCTTATCATCAGTTTGTTAAATCAAGAAACATCAGCATTATCCAAATCATCATTTGATCGCTCGATATAGTTGCTATTGTTTTAATACATGGGATAGTAACAGTGTGTACCTATCTATGAGTCGCTCCTAATTAGAATCAGGACCTCATGTATGTATCAAAGCTCAATATTTTGGTTTCTTTCAGCGGCACATAGATTTTAAGGTGACAATTTTTTCTCAGGTAGCTCATCTGTAATATTTTTAACTTCGTATAACAACTGAGAAATCAATTCACATCTCCGCTCAGCGCCAGAACACAAGTGTTTATTTTTCATTAAAGCTAACCTCAAAATATATTTTCATTCTTTATCCGCCTTGGTTTTTCATAACAGTCACTGCGGATCCAATATATCCATGAAATGAACTGTATTTTGTAGGAAGGTACCAAGTCGCATCAAAATCAAATTCAGGCAAAGAGGTTCGAAGTTTTACCACTTCATATGACTCAACCAGAGATTAGTTCTGGAGGAATTCTTTCGAAGGCTGCCCTGAAATCATTTTATTTCAACTCATTTCTCCATCTTCTCTAGAATATCGATCCATCAAACCTGCTTAGTTCAACATTATAGTTTCTAGCTCTTTACTACAATTAAATTGCGGAACTATAATTTGACAGTTAGCAGAATATCCTTCAATGTACCCACACTTCCAACCTGCAGAACTTACTTCGCAGATAACTGAACAACGATTCGTCCGTCCGGAGGAGAAGTTCGTAAGTACTTAAGTACATATACACCTACTAGCAACTTTACATATCTAGCCCCGTTTTCAGTTGCAATATTAATAATATGTTTCATTTTCATGGAACCGGTTATGACTCCAGGTTTGTCTTCCTATAAGCTATGTTTTTCTGTGCCCATTATTCAGGAGTCAAGAGTAGAGGATTAGAAGTCTGGAGAAGAACCGATCCATTTAATGCTACATCATTAGCATGTCCAAAATTTTAATTTCCAGAGAATTATGTGGTGATGAAAAGCCAGAGTTATCCTCTGATTTCTTGTATTTTAATGATTTGAGTTTACTTAGGTATCAGATTTGTAATGGGTGGGTAGTGTACCTATTTGATCGATTGATGATAAAAAAATTGATGGATGCTTGTCCTACTTTCAATTTAAATTCACAAGTACCTGTTAAATGAATTCATAACGAAAATCAATAATTTCAGTGATATTATTTTGATGATGTCTACATACACTGGGTTCTTATTCCGTGCCAGGATTGTTATCATTTACCAAAAAATACCTTGAAACTGAGCAAAATATTTTTTCTGGTATGACCTTTTGGAACTGCATAATAAGGGAATAATGCGTGTTTAGAATTTGACTAGGCATTCTATCCACTTTCCCCCCTTGTAAGCTAATCTTTTTTATTTAAGACCTTCGTCATTTTTTCCTATTTTAGAGAGAGTAAGGAAATGCTGATTATAACAAAATTTGAGGAACAATTACTTTCATCCCTGTTGAATGAAAAAAAATAAAACGAAGCACCTACCTTAAAAAAAAATAAATAAAGTAAAAAAATACAATGAAGTAAAAAATAAAATAAAGTAAATTCATAAAATAAAGTAAATTAATAATATTAAGTAAATTCATAATATTAAGTAGATAAATAAAATAAAGTAAATTAATAAAATAAAATCAATAAATAAATAAAGAAAATACATAAAATACCTGAAGTCTAAAGAAAATCAACTAAAAAAATAAAATGAAGTAAAACAAATGACGTAAAATAATATAATGAAGTGAAAAAATAAAATGAAGTAAAATAATGCATTAAAATAAAAATCGAACAAAAGCTATGTATTTTGGTCAAGATATCCTGGTTGTCCTATTAATTGGAAGCTAAATGCAGGTTTTTCGTCCCCACTACTCAGGTTCTCGGCATGGCTCAGTAGGTAGGATCCTCGTCTTCGGTTAGGTAGGTCGTTGGTTCAAATCCCGACGTAGGCAAAAAAAATTTTGCACATAAATATTGAGAAATGTGCCTCCAAATGTCTCGTGGACCTTATTTATCGCGGTTTTAGACATTATTTCCGTAAATAATCCATTTTGGGGGGCTCTTTTCAACTGTCCCCTGGCTACAAACCCCAAAATTTGCTGCCGATGCTCCAATTTAGCGATCCAAACCAGGTTTAGATTTATGCCGAACTAGTTTAGATATTACCTAAACTCCGAGTCAGCGTACAACCCAAAATCGGGTTTGCCTACTATCCAAAATAACTAGCTGGGGCCATATCAGCTATCCGGAGTTGGTGTTGTACACCGATATTCCGGCAAAAATCCAAACCCTTTTTTTTCAGTGACCATCTTTAGTGCATCAAACCATCCGTTTAAAAGAATATCGCCCTTAATCAGGGAACGGTGTCACTGTTACACGGAATTTCCTTAAGTCAAAATTATATTTGAGGATTTGCGACAGATAAAAGTTTTTCCAATTGGTAGGATGCTTTTTAGTTTTGAGGAAATTTTTTGAATTAAAACTACCTGGTCGATACACGCTTCGCACGCTCTCACAGCTAATAAGCAGAGGATTTCCCCTGCACCCCTGGTCGCTCGCTTCGCAGGTGACTTTGAGGCTAGCGTCGTGAACTATTATTGCAAGTGATTCATCAGACAGATGAAGAATCATAATGCAGATTCCTTTGCTTCTTTTCAGGTGAAAATTTTGCTGTTTTTCGAAAGTCAGATGGAAAGGTACACGTAGTCGACGCGTACTGTCCTCATTTAGGAGCAAACATGGGTATAGGAGGTTCTGTCAAGAATGGTTGCCTGGAGTGCCCTTTCCATGGATGGCAATACGATGGCGAGACGGGAAAATGCAAAAATATCCCATATGCCAAAAAAAGTAAGCTACTGATTAGAAGCTTGTGAGATCTGCTAACAAAATTTTTGTTTGATAACCACGCTTTGTAAATTGTAATTTTTTGACAGGGAAGGAAAACTGCTTTTGGCACTATTTGAAGTATATGATAGCACAGGAAAATAAGCTGAGTGGTAGCACATGGTGGTATTAGAGACCTAAACTTTAAAATTTAAACGAAAGTAAATGGTGCATTTCTATTCTAAAAAAAGAATGCGCATCATGGGAAGATTGTGCATTCTAATGATAATGCTTGTTTCTTATCGCAAAGAGGTGTGTGAAAAAACGGGCAAAAATGGCTCAAGGCATTCTCTAATTTTGAACACTTGGGGTGATACAGTATCTTTCGAGACGCCCAAAACCGGTCGCCGTTTGGCTTAGAAGCGCTGTATAGTTTTCTCTATTACACCATCAGAAAGCTCTATTTAAGAGGAACATTTTAAAAAAAAAGTTCATTGAAATCGGTTGAGATGCAGCGGAGATATGAATTTTTAAAGGTTTCCATTTTAAAAAATGGCAACGTCGCAACACGGCGCTACTAAGCATAACGGCAACCGGTTTTGAGCGTCTCGAAAGATACTGTATCACCCCCAAGTGTTCAAAATTAGAGAATGCCTTGAGGCATTTTTGCCCGTTTTTTCACACACCTCTTTAAGAACTTTGGTATATAGTTATATACTTTGTTATAATACATAGTAAGTATCTTAAAGCTAAATACAAAATAACGGCGCAAAATTTATGAGGTTCTGATCAATAAAAATCTCACTGGTATCCATCAATTGATGAGAATTAGAGGCGTACTATCCGTTAAAGAGAAGCCTTAAATCGCCTTTGTGAGAATGCAAACACTTTTAAGCTGCGTTTTTTCATGATTGCAAAATTTCCTGAACAACTAAAGAACGGAGTGAACGATGTTGCATCGATTGAATGGAAACCGGGATGCGCCAATGAGTAAGGGATCTAGCAGAGCTAACGTTATCGAAGATTGCGTATTAACTTCATGAATTTTTTGAACGAATTATGCGCCACCACACCACAAAATGTGACATAAAAAAATCCTCTTTTGAAACATATAAATGCGAAGTGCCTCGTGTCCGAACTTCAAACTTATTTTTTCGGAGGGCCGTAAAATCTGCCGTGATAGCGAAGAGAGCAGTAAATGCATGCTGGGATGAATCTCGATACACATAGAAGCATCAGCAACTCAAGGTTCGTACAAAAATGCACATACTACTCTATTCACTATCACGGCAGAAATGCGAGATCTGCTCCGGCCAGCTTTGGTGAGATTTGCGATCGAGTCGAACCAGAGACTTCTCTGGACGACCACTTGGGACGGGTGAACCAGGAAGTGTGCGAATAATAATTTTAAAAAAAGAATCTTGAAGAAAATATAACGTTTTGACGAGATCTTCATTTCAGGGAATTCCCTCGAGAGTTACGTGGTGAATTTTATCCCCATATGCAATTAATCTGATTATTGAGATTCCCTCTCATCAACATCGCTCCATGTGCAGTTCCAGAGTTTGCGAAAGTTCGAACTTGGAAGTCTGTAGAGGTGAACCACATCATTTTCGTGTGGTATCACGCTGAAGGAGAGGAGCCCTCCTACGAAATACAACCGTTTGCAGATATTATGGATGGAAGTTACACGTACAGGGGTCGTTTTGAATATCTACTGGATGCGCATGCTGAGGTTAGAATGTCATCTCTACTCTGTTTATTAGTACGATTGATCATTTAGAACAGTGCGTCTCGATTTCTAAATATTTCAACGAGGGCCGCGCATCATGCAGCGCCCAGCAACCTTTTATTAATACTCGAAATTGAATAGGATGAATACCGTAAAATACATTACTTTGAGTCTAACAAGTCATAGGGTATATTAAGGACGAATCACAAATTGAAAGATGAACCTTTAGAAAAGAGGAAAGTTGATGTGTGTTAAAGTCTAAATTCAGGACAGTGAACTGAATATTGTGCTTCCGGGTGTTGCAGTGAATATTTGCACGTATTTACGCTAAAAGGAACTATGTGTAATAGGCTTTAGTTCCTTTCAAAAACACGTCCATTGGCCCCGATAAAATTATCAACTCAGCTGGATGTGACCGAAATAAAATAAATACCCAAAGTTATAGGTAGTTAACATTGCTATGGGTAAGGGGGAAAAAATTTCGCGAAGAGGAAGAAATCGACATGTCCAAATGACTTGACTTGACTGCCTTAAGTATAAATGTTGTTCGATGCACTACCTTCTGCTCAACAAAGAATAAGTCTAATCGTTGCTCTCTTTCTGTTTTTTTCTCATTTTAAAGGATCTATTTCAAAATTTCGCTGACAACGAGCATATTGATTTTTTACACGCTCCTAGAATGTTGATGGTGGGCGCTGATTTGGAGGGCTCGAAGAGAAAATGGCTTCCCAACTTCATCAATCTCACACAGTCTACACACTGGGAACCTGATGCAGACCTGCCTCACATGTCACGGATTCAAAATGAATTACATATAAAGCTTTTTAATAGAATAACCCTCATAAAGAGTGATGCCGTTTCAAGAAGCGTATGTATTATATGACTTAAAATTTCGTTCAAAAAGTGAGAGGAGGGTAACGAAAAAAGGTGGCCCATTTAGAACACCTAAAAAATGCCGTCACTCTCACACAGCTTGCTTGAATCTTTTCTTTTGGTGCGTGTACGTAGAATACCGCCTTTGCGATCGTTTCGACCCCCAACTCGATAGAATGTATCGAGTATCTGAGTTCCTTGCCGGCGAATGACAGGCGGGCTCGGGTTCTTTTATAAGCTTATAAAACAGTTACTATAGTCCTTCAATCTTTTAGGCTGATTGATTTCCGTCACAGACTGTATTTTTTTATTGTAAATTCTAGAGATGAGTGGGCTCCTACATTTCTCTCCTCTATTGCAAAAACAGCTGCCCAACATGCGCCACGCCAGCGGATACTGTACCCATAAAATAAAATACCAATCTTACGCTGATAATCTGGTAGTGAGAGCTAGCTCGAACATTGTTGCTGTGAATAATCCATCTGATTTCATATCCCAATTTTAGGGAGCTCAGTGTTACTTTAATAGTTGTTAAATTTTGTGTGGATCTACCTTCAATTTGCTGGAAGGAAAATCTGATTTTAATAAGTATGACAATTTTCGGTGGTATATTTCTCCCCTATATTTTCTGAGAATTGTATCCGGTGGTAATCGTCGAGAGTTGTAGCTTGAAGTTTTGTCAACTTTTACTTCTAAATTTAAACCTTGAAATATTTCAAATCTCATTTTCAAGATTCTGAGGCTCTTAGTTGTAAGAAGTAAAAATCTGTAAATACCTATCTACTCCAGGTCCTTTTTCCTGCATAGGAAAAAGGACCTTCCTTTCCTTTGCTGATCATTTAGGTACTTTCCCACCTTGCATTTGTATTTTTTTTTATCACGCGATAAACCAGGGTTTACTTTCGATAAATGCAGAATGCTTCTTGGGTGAAAGTGATTAAATTAATTGAGGGGGGACTGCCAAGTGATAGAAATGATTTTTCAATCTACATTTTACCCTGCAATGAGTTTCAGCAATTTATCGCAACATGTCTCCTTAGGGAAATATTCAATAATTGAGTCGTCTCAGCAGTAACTATAGGCTTATCTCACCGAAAAATTGATGGAATTACATTTCAGAGATGAGAGATCCTTCACCCATCTCTTGAAAAGGGTCGAACTTCTGGAGGAAGGGGGCTCCCTGGTTCCGCCCGTGAGAATTGCAAAATGTTGGCTTTATTTTGAGATAAGATTGAAATCGTGAGACATTACTCTACAGTAGGCTCATTGTCAGTTTATTTCACAGCTGGATGTGTAAAATTTTGTATTGAGCATCTTCCTTTTCTGTTTTTGCGTGAAGGTATAAATATGGTTTTTTTCAGATCGGACCAGGCTACATCGAAGCTACCCAATCAACATCTCTTGGAAACACTAGGTTTACGCTCTGTATTACGCCGGTTGCACCACTCACCCTCCGACTTACGACGCGGTTGTATACGCGGCCATTCACAATCCTCGCAGGACCAATCACTTTGCATGCACTTAAAAATGGCGTAAGTGTCATGAAACAAACTAGTGTAAGGCTGACACATCAATGGGCCTGTTGCAAACTTTTGCTAGGGCCTTGTCTCCACGAGCCGTTTCACGAGATTTGTCCCGGGGAAAAATCCCACTTACGAAGTTGGGAAAAATATTGAGTTAATCAATATTTTTCCCAGTACCAAGTATGGTACTTGTACCCCTAGGACCCACTGAGTGAAAACGAATTGTGCGATATTTTATTCATTACTACATTGTTAATGTTTGTTTAGTTAAAATAATGTGTCTAATTGTCAATTGAGTGCAATTATTACTTTAATCCCGGTTTAAAACTCGACTTTAACCAATTTATTTTCCCGCGAAAACTAGTCGCAGGACTGTATGAGCCCCGTCCCGTGGAGACGGTAACTGGGAAAAATCCCAGAAGTTTCATTCCTGCGATTCGAACTTGGGACAAATCCCATGAAAACGTCCCGTGGAGACAAGGCCTTAAAGAAAAATAAGAGCTGTCTCTATCAGTAAAGGTCTAAAAACTCACGATGAGCTCACTGACAAAGTTTAAGATGTTTCCTAACTTCGCAAAATCTGCGTGAGAAATTTGCATTTTTTTAGCTTCCCGCTTCACAAACGATCCTACGGCACAGGTAGACATTTTCTTGGAGGTGTCGTCGTCCTATCCAACCTCTGTGCGCTAGGATACTACACACTATTCAACATGACTGACACCAATTCGTCAAAACGCAAGTGCCTGGACGAGACTCTAAACACTTGTCAACAACGTAGCGTGTTTGTATGTATAAAGCCGCTTTTATAGCGCTCTGTGGCGCTCTGCTACTCCTAGCCGCCAAAGTCCCCTTTCCTCCCAAAGCTCTTCAGGGAGTTGTCTAAAACCCCTTGTCGCCACCCTTTCACTGGGCGTCCCGTCGTCCCCTCCCAGGAGGAACCCAATACCGCGATCTCTCCTTAAAATTCCTACAGCGACCTCCTCCAGAAATCCATCTCCGTTGCTCTCAGCATCCCCTGGGTCTGTTTCTTCAGCTGCCAAACTTCACATCCATACGTCAGAATACTTTTGAATATAACGTTGTAAATTCTCCTCTTGTTCTCTTTGGAAATCCGCGGATCCCAGAGGATTCCATTTAAATTCGCTGTAGCCTTCCTTGCCAGGGTGTTTCTTTCCTTAGTCGCTTGATCCGTTCTTCCATCCTAGGTCAACCGCACCCCCAAGTACTTATTGTGCGCGCAGCCTTTGATCTGCTGCCTATCCTCCAACTCAATGCTTTGCTGATCACCTCCCAAAGTCAGTTTGTCGGATTCGGAAATACTGACTTCCAAACTTCCGATACTCCTCTACCAACTTACGTATTATGTAATCGGCGTCATCTTGATCTTGTGCAATCACCACTTGCGGTCATCAGCAAAGCAAAGAGTGAACAGAGTTTCAACCTCAATCAAGGGAACATCCATCCTGGCGTGTTTACATTTACGATTTCTTTGCTTTGATAAAGATCCGCTTTGGTTGACCTTGAGCTTCCGATTACGATTTTCGTGCGGAAACGTCCGCTATGTTGGGTATTGGTATTGCGAAAGGGTTGAATGGAACGCCTCCTTTGAGGAAATGTTCACTTGTGCCGTAGTATCGTTTTTGAAGCGGGAAGCTAAAAAAACGCAAACAAACGCAGATTGTGAAGTTAGGAGCGCATATCTCAAACTTTGCTAGTGCGCTCATCGTGACTTTTTAGACATTTACTGATAGAAACGATTCTTACTTTTGCTCTGGCAAAAATTCGCAATAGGCCCATTGAGGAGCTTGGAGGACAAAGTGCATAAGTGCAGTTTTTGTTATCTTGAGAAATAAGTGTTTGAAGTTTGAAAATTAGAGAGGGCGTTTTAAGAGAGCTGCATGGATTCTCAGACCTCGCAAAGCGCTATCTTGACTCAAAATCAGTCCTTTGTTAAAACCTCTCCGTTCACGTCACCTGCTTGTATGCACCTTGTTTTGCTGAAGCCTTGTGACTTTGAAAGGCCCCCGCCATGGAAGATGAGCCCTATCCCTTAACTTCACTGGCTCCTTACCATATTGAATCGTCTCCTGAGAGTCTCTTCTCGGATCAGGAAGAAGGGCCAACCAGGAAGAAGCTTAAAACTTGTCTTCTTAACTACCCCCCTTTTCATTCTCATGAGGCTCCCATGCGCCCCAATTGGACTGCATTTTGCGATATGGAACTATGAATTCTGGCCCGGTTTAAAAACAACGTATGTGCCATTAGATTCCCTATGCACATAAGAGTTTTCCCAGAAGAGCCAGAATTTGTAGTTCCAATTTGCAAAATGCAGTCTAATTGATCTATTCATTTCGTTGGTATCGAATACACCCTGCCTGACGATAGGTCCCAACTGAGTTTTCGGTTAATCCCAAAATAATACACGTAAGGGCTAACATGTTAGAACAAATATGAACCGTATACCAGAATATATTGTGCTAGTTAAAGATTAACCTTACCCGAGTAGCGAAATTTCAATTTGTTTTTAATTTCCTCTTCTATTTATAGTTCGAGGACGACGTCATGGTATGGAATTACGGGAAACCAAGACCGCAACAGAATGTTATAAAGGAAGATGGACCCATAGCCCACCTCAGACGATGGTACAATCAATTCTACTCTAAAAACAGTCCTTCCTTGAACTGTCAGGAGACTATTTATTAGCAAGTTTTAAAGACCCAGTTCTCTCTATTTGACGTCCTTACAAATGAAGTCTACGAGGCAGCTGTTCAGCAAAACTATGGAAAACTTCGGAGGAAAATATAATATTTGTACCCCTTTCTTGACACTTCTAATTTTATGATAAAACTCACTTCAGATGCCTTATAGCCATTAGGTGTTTGGGAGGCTAATAAATCTCGTATACTACACTGTACAAATAACTATAGGGGGTTACGACACCTGACCGCTACACGGGCCAACCCCCCCGAGGGTCCGCTTACCGGACTTTTTGTGAGTTAATCTGGCATGAAATAAGACAAAAGATGCACATTTAAAAAATATTACACATATTTCATCACAGTTCTAAAGGATGCGTTAGGTCCATTTATATACTTAGGTATAATACAAAATTCTGAGGGAGGAGGGTCGAGCTGCAGATTTTTTCTCTTTGAGTGTTTGGTGTGTGTTAAAAGTTGGGGGCCTTTGCCTGAAGAGAACAAAAAAAGAGGGAGATGGACCAAACATCTGAAATTATTTTAAATACGGAAGTAATATCGATTACGATGTGGAGTACATGCCGCTTCTAATCGCAGTGAATATTACACCCAGTTAGTATCATTCGGACCTCATCATGATTCCATACACTCCGGCTTCAGGATGTAACCGGAGTGAAGGGTGAACAATATTTTGAACTTCCATGTATAGATGCCTTTAAAACACAATGTCAGCAAAATGTTAGTACTTAACAAGCTATGTGTGAGAATTAAGTTCGTCAATGATACACTAAATGATTATAACCTAACCATATTTGAGCCATATGATAGCATTAAGTTGGTCTTTATATGAGTATTCATTCAAAAGTACCTATAATTCTCAGCACATACGAGTTATATGTTAGCGTTGGGTTGGTCAGAATTTAACGAGTATTACACTTAAAAGTATTGTGCTAAGTATATGAGGACCTTCCCGAACAAACAGGGTATACGTGCATAAGCTGTTTGTTTCGAAATTGGCGAAAAAGATAACTCATACCCTGAATAAGGTGACATTTGAATCTCATGTCGATAGCTGCAAAAGATCGGCAGATATGATTTTTTTGGAGCCCAAAGGTTGACCTAACAATGTATTTTTGAGCAAACAGCGTATACGCAAATCATGCCTTTGCTCGAAATTTCTGTTTACAGTGCATTATTAGAAGTCCATCCAGTTTTCAATTACACGAGGCTTCTGCGTTAAATGGGATTTTAATTCCCAACAATTTCCCGGGAGATGGCTGAAGCACGCTGGATAAAATGGATGTCTCTTTTGGATGTAGTAGCCAAAATACCTTACAAGTACCTATCTGAGACACGCGCACAAATTCTTAGACACCTAAGAATTTGTCCTGCTTAACCGGACAAGAAAGTATACATTGTATCCATTTGTCCGCGTCTGCAGAAAATGAGAGTAAAAAATTTGGTTCTAAATGAGTGATGAGGATATTCGTATAATTTTGACGGCTGAAGCCAAAAATGACCCTAATTTTATCCATTGCTCTCAAATTAACCCTTAAATTGATTTTCTTTAATGGTTTCCTTGTAGCCCCGACAAAACGATTTTGTTTCCTTCTCCGATTTTCTTTTCATGATAAATGGTTGGTTATTGAAAAAATCGCAGGTAATTGTCAGTTTGAAAAGCCAAAATTTCAGTTAAATAGCTCCATCAGGAATTTATGGAAAAGCTTCATTCCATTCTAAACGCCTTAAATAAACGGGCAATACTAGCTTTGGTTAAAGAAATGATTTTGTCCTTCGACCGAAGAAACATTTCGTTCACGAAAAGTTTATTTCATTCTCGGACACTATTTGAAGAGCACACTCCAACAACTTTTGTTTAAGGTGATGCGACGGACGCCGTTTTTTGTGTCAGAGGGACGTGCGATATATTGCATCGATTTGTTCCATAATTTCGGCTACTTGTCATTTTTTTCAAATTTTGAGACCGCACTTCNCAAAAAAAATGACAAGTAGCTGAAATTATGGAACGAATCGATGCGATATATCGCACGTCTCTCTGACGTAAAAATGGCGTTCGTCGAATCACCTTTAACGATAATGTTTGCAAACACTAAACCAAAATTAAAACTTACTATGGTTCCATTAGAGATGATCACAGCTACACGCAAGACTAGGACCCACAGCTATACATAAAAATCGGACCCGTGGAGAGAGAAGGTGGGTTCGAGGAAGTCAGATGTCAGGAGCCCGTGGATCAAATTTAAACTTTAACTCCTTGAAAAGATGGAAGTATGACTCATTAAACCCTATTCACAGATTTGCTCCCTCCATAATACTATTTGAGAATTAAAATAGGGAAATTTACTTTAGAGTATACCCTCGTTCTATAGGCTGATGTATGCGTTTACATCGAAAGCCAGATGAATCAGTGAGTTCGAAAACACACCAACTCGGGGTTTTTTCGATTTTCAATTTTTTACGGTTTAGTAACATTTATGGATAGAAACATCTGCACGCAAAAGGAAATTTCGAAAATGCAATCGGAAGTGCTCGAAACAACGACGGGAAAAGGGAAAAATCGAAGTATGTAATTGGAAATACCAATTTCTGGCCATTTCAAGGGAAACGGGACGTGACCATCCGATTTTGCGGTTTTCTTCTTTCGGTTCAGAATACCTTGTACCAACAAGTTAAATTAATATTCAAGAGTTATTCAGGTCGAAAAATATAGATATTTCCGGGCAGACTATGAAAAATCAGTCTCTGAAAATCGGTAAGAACGAAAACACACCAACTCGGAAATTTTTAAACGCTTAATTCTCCGTCATCAAACATGATGTATCGATTTCAACTTACAATTAGTGCTTTACAATGTCTCTAAGTACTTGTCCTTTGGCACCAAAAAGGTTTTTCTTTGACTAACTTCTTCGCCCGCTGCGCAGTTTTAGGTGTTTCCTGAACAATTTTGTTTTTCCGAGTTGGTGTGTTTTCGAACTCACTAATTCTAATGTCAAGCATAGAGGCGTAGTATGGCATGAAATTTGTGTCGTGTGTTATGATCCTTCAAAATCCAGTGGCGAGGCGTGAATGATTGATTATATCGTTGTTTCCCCGTTTGAGTCTGTCTTAAGGAATCGATTATTGGACAAATAATATTTAACATGAAAACACGATTATACAAAGCAAAAAATGCGACACACATTTTATGCCATCCTACGCCTCGACGATCGACATTTGGTTTTCGGTGTAAATGCATACATCGGACTGTAGGTCGGAGGGTGTACCCAAAATTAAGTTTCCCTATATTTTGATTCACTGGAAAAAAAAACACATTGGATTTGGAGTCCAGACTCTTGAATCATCGACAAGAAAAAGTACTCTTCATTCAATCAAAATCTAGCTAAAATCAAGAACCAAGCCTCTTAATTTAAGCGAATTTCGTTTTGATTCAAGCAAAAATCCGATAGTATCAAGAGTATTTTTTCTTATCAATGTTTCCGAGAGTCTGGACTCTAGATCCAATGTGTTTTTTTCCCAGTGTTCTCTAGATGTGTTATAGGTGGAGCAAACCTGTGAAAAAAGTTTCGCGAGTCATACTTTTATTTTTTCAAGGGGTTAATTATTTTAAAATTTGGTCCGCGGGTTGCCAAGATATCTGACTTTTTCTGAGCCCACTTTCTCCCGCCGCGGGTCCAATTTTTATTGAGCGTAACGTAGCTGTAATCACTTCTAGCGGATCGATAATAAGTTTTAATCTTGGTAATGTTTGAAAATACATACCTTCATTTTTCTACGTAGAACGCAGAAACATTATACAATGATGACACCATGATTAATAATCAAATGCAAACACCGTGGTTTGATTACAACTAAGATGGACAAAGCTCATAAAATCTTCTCTCTAAGAGAAAACAGTCATTAAAATATATGTATTTAAAAAAAATAGTTTTGGGGTCCATCTTCCAAATTCTTCGTAAAGACGTTAATAGCCTAAGATGCTGAATGTCTTTAAATAAATTAACTAACTAACTAATCTTGAGTGGGATCAGCTGCACGTTAGAAAATTTTTCCGGCTGCAATAATAAACAGCTCAAGGCGCAGCCTTGAAAGGATATTGAAGGACGAGAGCATTGGATGAACCAAATGTACGCTGAGTTTCGAACAAAGGGTAGAGTAGAATTCAAATGATGAATTTTTCTAGGAAGTATTCTCCGGGAAGGGGTATCTGTACCTGATGCGATTATGCGAAGAAATGAATATTAGGTATAGCTGATTTCCGGTGGGTATGTATTTAAGCACGGCTCAAGCACGGATCGCTGAGTCAATTTCGAGTGTTGTTCTCATGTTAAACGCATCACGGACGGTTTTTTACTTCTTTACAAGAAACGATAGAAAGCTGTAACGGGACGTCGTCTTCAGAGGGAAGTACATTTCTTTCATCCCTTCACCTCATGCATTAGGTAATGAAAAATAGTTGGAAGTTATTAAACAGCACGGATATACCTGTATTGCAGCGTTTTAGGAAAGGACATTTCACTTTAGCGGATGTATTTGACTTGTAGTTTTGAGACGCTGGGTTCGGGATAAAACGCTTAAGATCATCCGCAAGTTAAAATCATTGGGTACATAGAATCGTGATGCAAGTGGGAGAGCTGGCGCCACTTTTAAGCATTTTCCAGGTCCCAAATCCCGAGATTCCTGTGCGGCGCCGGGTCCCTTTTTCGATACATAATCGATTGTTTGCGATACACGGGGGACCCGGCCATATTCCACACCGCCATTTTACATCGAGTATGTATCGAAAAAGTGACCCCGCACACCGGGCTCGGAACTCGTCGAGCAGAACATGGCGCCAGCTCTCCCACTTACATTACGACTCTATGTACTCTATGGTTGAAATGAGCTGTAGTTTTCCTTTGCGTTGCATATCACCGACTTTTCTAGTGCATCGATCTCATTTTAGTGAGCAAATTATGTGCAAAAATATTATAACGCATTGCAGCGCAACTTTATTTAATAGTCGTAGATTCGTCCTACTCCCATGGGAGTTGAGGAGGTTTGGGGGTGTGGAATACCCCCTCCTCCTCATT